AAAAGAACGGCAAAATATTGCTTCTACTGTTGCCAACTTTCACTTATTTATGTTTTGATTTACAGTCAATGTCAAAGCATGATTGCACTGAGTCAATCAGTATCTTGTAGAAAAAACTACCACTTTCTCTACCAACGAAATAATTCAACAGTTGCTTTCTCTTTTCTGCTATTTCGTTCTGTGTGCACATAATCACATTGTTTTTTGATCATGCAATCTGTTATAATGGCACAGCGAAAGAATGAAGATTCATTTGCTAATGTAAAACTTTTGAAAAAGATTCCATGACTTTTCAAAGTTACGACAGCAAAACATGGGTGTGGGTGTTGCCTTCTCTTCATCTACACTCATACTGTAAGTGATAAATCAATAGTCGTCGTCGAATGGCAATAAATTAGAATAATGAATAAATGAATACTTGCCGGAGATAGGAGATGTAAAGAAATTCGTTCGTCTCCTTAGATGGAGTTTGTTTCTTCCTTTTGTTGATGGCTTTTTTTTTGGTTGGTTGTTATACGAGTGTGTTTGGTTTGTTGCTGAAGGATTTCTTATCTTCCATTTTAACAGGGCAGAATATGTGAGTTTGCATCAAAAAGCAACAACGAAACGAATGCTTCGTTATCGAAAGAAAGAGAAGAATCGAAACCTCATGATATGATGACTGTTGTTCTCATGGTTACCAAGCTTTCTTTCCAATGTCGTAGCGGGTATGAGATGCTAGAAGCCATGTGCTTGAGATGGATAAGGTTAAAAAATAAAGACATGCACTCTGGAGACATGGTCTTTCAACAAACGAACAACAGTTCAGTTCCCAAGTGTTATCTTCTTTTATTATTGACTGATTGGATCTTTTGTTTATAGATGTCACACTATTGAAAATAACTTGATGAAAGAAGTCGGACAGGAGAATGCTAATGACGTATAGTGGGTAAGATAGATGATGAGTGATAACAAATAACATACGCGCTGATCCTTCTTCACATCTACATACTCACCCTAACTATTATATCATAGAATATCATCAAATATATTGGCTTGTTTGAAGTAATGTTTATTAAATAAATACGTAGATATGAAAAGTTAATGAGAAGTTTATTTACTGATTATAAATAGATGTCGAAGAAAGTTCATATTTGTAAGAAAATTATTTAATAATTGTTTGTGATCTTTAAAGGTATTTTTTCTATTATTCAATGATGATAAATAATGGCATCTAAATGTATAGATGTCAAAAAGATATTTATGTAATTGATTTCGCTGTTTCAAAATTCAATGAAGAAAATGTTCGAGATGATCGATCGACAAGTACAGTCATGGACAAAAGTCGCACACCTATGTAAAAACTATCCAAATAAGAGTTTTTTTCCTTGAAACTTTAAGCACCAATAGAACTTGATGAACACTGATCGCAAGGACCAGTTCGAGCTCTATCGTCTAAGTTAAACTGAGATAGAAGGTCAATATCAAGACCTTTTTTTTGTAACGTTATCTCGAGCTAGAAAATAGATCTAATGCCGTTCGACCCATCGTTGGAAAGTTCGATAATTCTTCTCTTTCTAGAAAATAATAAAATGTTTTAATTATATACTATAAAATCATCGGTGTATGACCGATCTTTTAAGCTTCGATGCTTTTGTCGACAGATGAAATTTATATAGATCAGAAGAAAATATACCCATAAGTATAACTTACATTGATATTTGGCTTTTAACTCTATTAATAAATAATATTATATGATAGGTAACTCAATGTCAACAACAATGCAAACACAATTTCGTATTGCAGCATATCAATTCAAGCAGTTATGCTGTTTACATAATAGTCAACTAGATACTTGAAGATCGACAAATTGAAGATAACACTTACACGTCTCTTTTATATAAATAAGAACTATCCATTTTTATTCTTGATAAAGCAACAAACATTCGTATACATGTTATAGAAATGGTACCTTGTATAAGAAACCTATAATCGATCAACAGGTATCTGATTTAAGCACTCCTATCACCTTCAAAAACCTATTTTGGACCAAGCACATTCAAATCGTATGAAATTTTCTAAATATGTTGGAGCTGTAGTGGAGGGCTGCAGGAGAATTTTCAACCCTTATAGCACGGTGTTTTCGCGAGATATGCCACAAACAACGATCAAAAATAGTTTATTTTATATATCCAAAACTCTCTGCCCTCGAACAAACTTTCTATACATCGATCTTAATTTTCATGTTGTTGATGGAAATTGACTTTTCTTAAAGAGACCTTAAACAATTCCAAATACGTATGCTATTTACTTACTGATAGTCATTCCAATCCAATTGATGGTCTATGTTCCAGCACTTATTCAACTATGCTTAAAGCATGAAAAAATCAATTCCGAATTTCGTTACTGTTCAAACTTTAAGAACATAAAAATCTTTATAAGGTTTACTAATCTATTGCTTCTCTTTTATAATATTTTCTTTCTTTTCTTAAAAGCAAAATAGATATTGAAACTTTTCAAAAGTGTTCATCTAAGAAAGATAAGATACATTATGCTATGAAATAAAGAAATAGTTGGAGAGAATAATTAAAAGATATTTCATTTTCTTGTTCATCTATTTTCATTGTAATTCAATCATTGATTATTTTTATAGTTAATAAACAAAACTTTTCTATAGCTTCTGTGAATTTTAGTGATAGTTTTTATATATAGGCTTATTATCATCATACTAATCCTTAATATGTTAAACTAAATGATTTTTTCAACGAACAAATCATATAAAAACATTTATCGAGTTCTACTGCATTATGAATTAATGATTATTTTCGTACTCAAAATGAACAAAATTTTCAAATCGTACAACTTACAAAAAAAACATGCCTATACATTCATAAATTAAATTATCGAAAAATACTACAATTTGAAAAGCATAATTTTTTCTGATATTTTTTGTTTTTCTTTTGTTAGATTTGAAGTTTCGTTACATAAGTGCATTTTTGTCAGTAATCCACGACTTTATCATAAAATGTGAGTCTACTGTTTTTTTCAGAATGTGTCAGTTCTTCAAAATGAACGCCAAAGATCCATACGACTGTTAGATTTCATGAAGATTGAACAAAACAATATCATAATCAAGTAAACGTCTGAAAATCTTCCATTTTTGACTATTGTTAATGTCTTCTTACTTAATTTCATAAAGTTCGACAGTAGCGTTGGTGAGCGCAATCGAAACTGGTCATAAACAGCTTGAAGAATCGAGATATTTGAACATCAAAAATCGCTCATTCTTATCATGCATTTTGAAGAGCTGACGCATTCCTAGTTTTTCTTGATAAAACTCTTCGTTACTTTTTTCAAAAATTTATAACGATTATTACGGTGTTCTAGTTGAAGAAAATGATGATCGTAACAAATTAATACCAATCATTAACATTGTACACTGATTTTTTTCTATTTGAAGAAATGTATTATTTTTTTATTCGTAAAAGGCGAACATTAAAATGCAACGTAGAAAGATGTATAAGTGCTAGCAAAATGTTTTAAATAATGTCATAAAATCGATATTTTATCTATCAGAAACATCCATTTATTAGATATTTTCATGTACAAAGAAACTAATCGTTCTCATACTCAAGATGAAATATATATTATTCGTTTGATTATCATTTTGTATTGTTATCTGATTTGATTTGTTTTTCGAATCATTACTGTTTATTTATTTCAAATTTTCAATGGCTAAAAATATTTTATCATAATAGATCACTTTTTCAAAATATTATTTGTTGTCTGGCAAGGTAAATTTCTATATTATAATTGAACGTAGATTTCGATGAACATAGTTCTTTTGTGAAACACGATCTAACAGAAGTGTTGAAATATATAGGGTAGAAATTTGCACCGTTCCCCTCCTCAGAGACTATGACAGTTGTTGCTAATATGCGATCACAGACTGTATATCAATAACGTCTCATTATAATATATGAATTATTTGCTTATTGCATTTTTGTAGAATTAAGTAAAAGCATGGTGAAGAAATTTGTCTCAAAATAAATAGAGTAGAACAATATCTGTGTGATTAGCAATATTAACTACATAGAATTTCATATTTTAATCTTATAGAAATCGCGCTAACAGCTTTTTCTTTTAGATTCATTACTATTTTATTAAGATTCCCAACGAAAGATATACGAGGAAAATAAATTCGTGAAACTATGATCTAAAATTTTGCTAAATTACAGACAAAATAGATGCTTCGTTTTTAAGAAATTGATTGTCTAGTTCTTGAATGATGAAGCTGAAATATAGTAAAACAAATATTTTCATTTATGCATTATGATCTAATATAGATACCACTAGTGGCAACATTGTACCTTTTAATCAAATCCTGAAGCAAGAATTATAATTGTCAGTAATCTTCCAAGTATATTCTGTTGACAATAAAATTTTACTTTATTTTTTTATAAAAAATAATTTTACTGTTCAAGGGTTTGAAAAAAAAAGCAATTATATCAAACAAAAATCAATTTTTCACAAGACATCCAACTTGAATTCTATAATTTTATGTTTCAGCTGAATATCTATAACACATGTCGTAGTCTTATCGTTATTGATTTCTATTAATAATTCAAAAATATAATACATGAGACACTTGGTATAATTCTTTTTTTCGATTACCAACTTTAATTCCAACATATTTCAATTCAAACTGCAAACCTATTTAAATTGATGTGTAATTCTCAAAATCATGTTTTTTTTCTCTGGAAAAGCTATTGTAAATAAAATTTCTTATAAATAAACATCATGTTACAATTATACTTAGAAGATTAGATAATAAAACTAGCATGATATAAGTGTTTGATCAAAGAGATTGTTTTTTTTTTCGTGAATAATTTATCAATATATATTTCTGCTGATTTTTTATTGTATATTTTCTGTTCAAATGAATATAAATAAACAACAATATCAGAAGAAAAGAGTGTATATATATTTGCAGTAAAATGTATACAAATCTCTAAGTTCGATCACAAATCTTCAAGAGTTTTTCTTACACATTCGCTAACTTTTTTCTTAAATGCTGCTCTATCATCACGCCACATCACCGATGCATCAATATTCGCTGCTGAATCACAGTTTGGATCGCTTAGCATCGATAGAACTGATAAAAGAATTGTTTCTAAAAGAGACGCAAAAAAAAAAAAGAATCGAAAGAAAAAAATTTAAATACAAAAAACAACATACCAACTGATTGAACAGGCGACCAACGTTCCGAAGGATTTTCATAGCCAAATTGATCAACACCAGGTTCATGAAGCTAGATCAATGTTTTTCTTTTTTTATCAATAAATTTACAAAAAAAGCAGATTGAACTTACAATTGATATGCATACATCACCATTTTTCTCAATATTCGGGTGCCAAATTTCCGAAATAAATTTCTATATAAATAAAAGAAAATATGATTTACACAATCGAATAACAAAATTTATACCATTTTTGGTGGTTTAATTGGATATTCTTTCGGAAAATCCAAACGTGCTTTGAAAAATCCACCTAATTAAAATATAATTTTTAATTACAAAAAAAAACAAATTTTTTTCTTTCAAAAAAAAAATAAACAAAAAAAATTTTACCTTCATAAAAAGTATCAGCTGGTCCAACTAAAATAACATTCCAGGCATATGGATTTGATTCATCAATAAGACCTGCACTAATACCTTCAACAGGATGACGATTTAATTCACGTAATTGTTTGAGTAGAAGTAATGCGGAAGCATCCATTAGAAAAATAATCTAAAAAAAAAAAACACACAATAGTTTTATTTTATTTAAAGCAATAATCAATCCGATGAACACATTCGTATAAAAAATTTAGGAAAAATTTTTAAAAAAGTCAAGAATATAAAAAATTTCGTCTAATTGTAAAAATGTAATTATTTAATGACTAATTTGTTATTTAAGTTGTTTGATATTTGTTTCTTCATTTTTATCAACTAAATATAAACAAATATGTTTTATTATTAATTATTTTTAAAGCAAACCTTTGTTTAGATCAGATTCAAATCAAACATATTTATGATTACTTAATAATGGAATACATTGTTCAATTGAATGCCAAATATATGTTTTAGGGCATAGAAGAAATGATGGTTTATATTGATCCTAAAATATAATGAACTAATTATTTTTCTATACATATGGAATATGAATAAATGATTTTTTAGTTTCTATTGAAGAAAAGAATGATGCCTAAAAACTAAAAATATTATCTTAGACTAGTATTTTAGTATTATCCTTGAATAGTTATTGCAGAATTTACTTGAATCTACTTTATATACTTTTGTGTCTTACGAAGATACATATCCAACTGTCGGACGCTGCTCGACTCCATATTTTGGCTACAAGTGAGACTTAGTGAAATTCTAAACGGATTCAAGCCTATGCGTTATTGAGCCAGAAATACGGCGAGCTATGCATGAAAAACTTATTTACGAGATTTTCATTTGAAAGCTAGCCCATAGACAGGTATTGCAACTATTAGAATATATTAAAAATTTCATCTCAAAAGAATGTATTTTTCTTGAGATATCGAGTGTCTAGGACAACTCAATTCTATAACTTGACTTGTAATATATAAGCATTTGTTCGATACTCAATATCTCAAGAAGAATATATTCGTTTGAGCTGAAATTTTGCAGAGATATATAAGTGGCTGTGAGATCTGCCTATGGATGAAAAGTTCGTAATTCAATTTTCTACGAATAGCTTACCCAGAAGTCGAAAACCTATTAAAACGATTATAACTCTGGCTAAGTACTGCATAGGTTCGAATCTATTTAGGATTTTCTTAGTTTCCCTCCTTGTATCCAAAATATGGAGTAAAACAGGGTCATACAGTTAAATATATTCGTTCATTAGCGAATCTATATTTATCTTCTGAAACCATTTTTCTTCGCTAATTATTGTTTTTTTAATTAATATAAGAAACTATTATGAAAGAACCGATCTTACCACTGATACGAGGCCTATTCAGACCTCACCACAACTTTATTACTAAAGGCATGACTTTCGACTTTGTTTTCGTGCTCTTTAAGGTCACTATAGTTTCTATTAAAAACACACTTGTTTGACCCTATTGAGGGCAATCAGTATTATCCTTTTTCTTTGGCCTAAAAATTACTTAGTTTCGATGTATGTTATTTTCGATACATCTCATGATGACGTTAATAAAATATTTAAAGAAATCTTATCTCTCTATTTCGTTTACTTATTACTGGCATGAATATCATATATATATATATAATGTACTAAAGACATGCAATTCATATACGAAAAGAATGAAATTTGACAAGATCTTCTTACGATGAATTCAATTGTATCTCATAACAGCCTACGAAATAATACAGAGAAGACAATCACGAAAGGTTATTTGATATGTTTATTCTCTAAAGAGATATGATCAAAATTGCTTCTTCTTGTCATTAAAAGTATTTCTCATTAATCCTCACAGACATATTCATACTAGTCATAGATAATATTAAATTAAACTTCAACTCATCAGATGTATTGTGATAATATCAATTGATTAGTAACAGTTGTTGGTGTCATGATTAATGAATATTCAACACACAAGTTAAAAACGCTGAGGAAATTGATTAGATATATATCCAAGAATTCTAATGATAACTTTGTGGAATGTTCTACTTTTACTTCTTGATTCATATAAATTCGATTTTTAAGTGCAATTGTCGAACAGAAGTATACAAAAATCGAACGAGAGAAAGCAGTCTAATCCTATCTATGGAAAGTTCTCTCAAGAGAATAAATAGAAACAAGGAATGTCAAATAGATGATTTAATTTTCTATTCTCATTAGTTCAAATAACAATGTTTACTAATCAAACTTTTGTTAATTTGTTTCAGATCGTTTGAAAAATATAATTATTATTATTTTTTTATTTCTACTACAATCATTTCGTTATTATATTATTTATAAACAGCTATTGTAAATCAGATTTAAAATCAAAAGATGTTTTTTTTTCTCAATAGTGAACTTGATTCACTAGTAAAATTTAATTGACCTATCCTATCAAGAGTTACTGGAAAATTCATTTGAAATATATTCAACATAAACTTTTGTAAATTTTTAATTACTTTATAACATATTTTAATTCATGAATATATATAAAAGCTAAGATAATTGTATTTAACATCAAGTATCTCACTTGTTAATTGTCTTGTAATTTCTCTAAAAATAAACAAAACAACAAAAATCAATGAAATAGTTTTTTTTTTTTTCTTAAATTTACACTTTAATGTCGAATAAACTCCAAGTTTAAGAAAACCAAAATCAGGTTCATATAACTACATGAAGGATTTTTTGATGAAGATTCTTTTTTGTCAGTATGATTGACATAGAAAAATCTTTAAATTGTGATAATTGTAAATTTGGATGTCGTATCAGCATGTGTTGCAATTTAATAATGTTCATCAATTGAATGAGATTCTATTAATATATGTTTAAAATTCATCAGCAGATGGGTATAAACGAATAAGGTAACATTTAAATTTTTTTTTTTGGGTTATTATTCGATCTTCGATTGTTATTTGAAGAAATTTTATTGATGATAGCTCTAATTTTGATATTTTCATTAATAAATAAATTCCCATATTTTGAATCATACGCCTTTGAGAATGAGATATTTGTAAATTATTAGCATTCCAACTAAAAACATAGTACAAGTCAACTATAGGACATTTTTCGAATGATCGACTTTTCAAATCTTATCGAATGAGTTTCTAACAATGGATATATCATAATAATTAATGACAATACACAATGTTAAGTGTTATTTTTCTATGCTTAATAATCAGTATCATATGTACAAATATGAAAACTTGGCTACGTCTAAATTGCGAACAAAAATTAAGCCAATTAAGAAAAAAGTGTTCGCAATTTGGAACACAGAAAATAACGTTGATCTTATTTTTATTGGGTTTCCAAATTGCGAACACTTTGATTAATTAGTGATTGCAATAGCTGACTATGAGTTCAATTTTATTAATAATATAAATATAGAAGTTTGAGAATAAGAATGGTATCATAATTCAAAGTATGGTTACAAATTTTACTTGGTCAACAACTGTAAGAGTTGAAAATGCTATCTTATATAATAATCATTTATATGGGTTGAGACGTGAAAACAAGAACGGTTCATTCGTGCATATATGTACTGTCAAATCTTTTGCTCGTACTATAACTTTAAAAGACAATACAATTATCAAATCAAATATATATTCAAGATAATGATTTTCATGCTTATCAAAAAGCTCTAAAATCTATTTCTCATCGTTATATAGATCTTATACAAGATGCCGAAGATCGTAGTGATGAGGAATAGGTTTTTTTGTTATGTATTTCTATTGTTAATAATTTTTTTTCTAATTAAAACTGTATTACTTAATTATTAAAAGTATTCGCAATTTGGAAACGCAATAAAAATAAGATCAACGTTATTTTCTATGTTCCAAATTGCGAACACTTTTTTCTTAATTGGCTTAATTTTTGTTCGCAATTTGGAAGCTACGGAAAACTTACGTGGAAAAAATCATTTTCATTCTTTTGCCAACTATGATTTATCAATCATTTATAAATTATCGATTGATATAGTTAAAGTAACCACTCCTACATAAAATATTAATCCTTTAAATATCATAAATCTACCAATGAATCAAATTTAGTTATAAATTCAGATCTAAGACACTTATTATGCACTATTTAAACAAGATTCTAATAAGATGACTTTAAAATATTGAACAAGAATTAATTGCTTGTTATATAATGAATAAAATCATTGTTAACAAAACATGTCAACACTATATGAAAAAAAGCTCGTATTCAATCATTCCCGAGAGGATGACCTAGCACACGCATAAACAAATTCTATCAAAATACTTCTATCTTCTTTGACAAGCTATTGTGATTATTCGTTAATCAAAGTTCATCTACTCAATCAAACTAACCAAAAAAATACTATTCTTTATCTTTCAAATTGTAATTCGCAGCTAATCTTTTAAATTTATATATTTTTTTCTATAATATCTACTAGAAAATTTTTATGAAATATAAGTGATCGGAATCGATAAGATCAATTCATTCAAATAATAGTTCCTTATAATGATAAAACATTTATTATACACTATTGATATTTCTATTGAAACTGTTTCGAAATCTTAAAAATCATTTTCATCCATATATGACTGTGTTTTGACTTTTAGTATAATATCTAAAAATGATATATTGATGATCTTGCATAAATTCATCAGATTTATTACCTTCTTAACCTTTATAGTGTTATGATTTTTATATGAATTTATACATCGAAGTATCGGATATTATTTCACGTATGCGACTTTTTCAAAGCATAAGAAATTTGAAAAAAAAAAGTGTCCTTTATTCGGTATTAGAGATATGCAGGATCACAATTTGGAAGTTTCTCAAGACTACGAGAAATAAATTGTCTCAACTAGAACTAAAGATTATAAATTAAATATACTATGGTTTTAAGTGAATTATCTTATAAATCATATCCTTCAGAACATCATTCGCGAGAGGCTGCTCGAAAAAGTGCTCGTCACCAACTAAATAATTCAAAGAACCAGTATTGAAGAATTTTATTAAATGTGATGCGTCTAAATTCTTGAATAGTTTTCTCTAGATCGAAACGATAAAAAAATTGGATCTGAAACATATCTCGATTCAGGATGTTGGTAGTTATAAGAATTAATATCTTTAGTTTCAATGGATTTTTACTTTCAAGATGATAATATTTACAATTTAATATGAAGTAATTCAATGAATACAAACCTATTGAGCAATTACCACTGGTATTTCATTTGAAACGAACACTCTATTTGGATGGTAATACATTCGATGATCATGCTTCATATTGATAACAAAACATAGATGATTTTTTTTTGTTCTATTTGAATAAAACTAAATCTACAAAATAAAATAATTTTTGATATCGTTCTATGAATTATACTATATACACTCAAGATCATTTTAGATTCGTATGGTTAATATCATGTCTATAATACTTTTTATTTATAATTACATTTTCAAATTATTAATCAAATCAGAATGAAAAAAAAACCAACTCTCTCATTATCTTTTAATATTTCCATGGTTTCTTTATTTGTTTACCTTGCACATGCATATCTATAAACAAAAACTAATGTCTATGTGTATAAGTTAATGTTGTATAACTCAATACATGATCAAATTTATATAACATCTATATTCAATTATATTTCACAATGAATACAAGTTTTTTAGATTAAATTTTCTATCGATTCATATTCATATTAATTATTAATCTTCAATATTTTGATAAAAAATTGTATCATATTCTTATAATACATATGCAACATAAAATCATTTAATATTCAATAGAGATATTTATCAAATAAGATATGAACAATATTATTTTATTTTAACTAGGAAAAAAAAACTCATACAAAATAGAAATCACGACGAAGGTCATTAGTTTACAACTATTACTATTCTACGAAATAGTTGTAACCAATCGATAAATATTTATTAGTAACTAACCAATAGAAAATAAGTACTGAACAGCTGATAGAAATCAAATAATAGTAAACAAATGCCATCTATTATTATTATTATTATTATGATAGATTATTTTATAAAAAAAAAAAAAAAAAGATTATTTTTCAATTAATTTCAAATAATTATTTTTATTTAAATTTAAAAATATTCGATAAACTTAATTTTATAACTTGTATCAAATTTTATGATTATGTAACTATGAACGAAATGTTTTTTGTCAAAATATAATCCATACAACAATAGAAATTATATTTAGTTTTAATGGATTACATACTGTTTGAATATTTTTCTTTTTGTAGATATTTTTTGGAAAAAATTCTCTTGATGAATGACTCATACAATAAATAATCAGGTGTTTATGGTCCTATTATGGTCCGATTTTAAAGTTAATATTTCTTCGTAATAATTCATTAATGTTCAGATAGTTATGAAGTCATTATTAGGAATGAATATTTTTGTTGTAATAATAAGTTTAATTGTTTTATTAATTGGAATTATTTATCAACCATTACCAAAAGATTTTCCTCAACCATGGAAATATCGTTTTTTATCATATTGGGCTCATCGAATTGATCAATTAGTATGTGAAAATATATTGAATTTTTTTTCTATTAAAAAAAAAAAAAGCAAATAATTTAATTGATTATATTATTAAGGGATATTATTGTGAACAAATGAATTTATTTACTCGTATTGATTTAATACGAAATCTTCATTATTTATCAATTGGTTTATTTCAAAAACGACATCCTGAATGTCATTTAAAAGTATAAATTTGATTATTTAAACAAAACAAACTAAATAAAATCTCTTTTTTTTTTTTTAATAATATATAGGTTTATGATAGAAAAATTGCAAATGTTAGTGTACGAATTTATGAACCAGAAGAATTAATTAATTATGAGAAAAAAACAGTAATGATTTATTTTCATGGTGGTGGATTTCTTTTAGGATCAGTTGAAACATATGATCAAGCAACGTATCTAATGGCTAATTTAACACGTACAACACTTATTGCAGTCGAGTAAGTTTGTATGAAATAATTCAATTGTTTGAATAATCAGTCAAAAAAATAAATAAGTTTAGTGAAGACAAAATTCTTCGAATTATCTCGAGAATTTCGATTTTATGTTATCATTAAAATTCTGATTTTACTGCAATTAGGAAAAATGATACAGAAGAATTTCTTTTTTCCTGACAGTTTTAATTATAATAGAAGTTATCTTTAGATTTACATTTGAATATTTATGAAATGATAATTCACGAATATGAACTATTTTATTATTTTATCAAGATTTCTTTTGATAGATAATATGAAATCATAACATGAGAGATGATTGAAATACAACAATTTTCTTTTTCAAAATCAAATTTTTAATTATTATTCTATTGATGAAAAATTCATTGAAAACAAAAAAACTATCGATTTAAAGAATTTCAAAGATCCACAGAATATTTTCTTGATATTATGAAACTACGATAGTTAATAGTTACTAAATAAAACTCATGTAAGACTTGTTCTTTTTTCTTTATCAGTACATTTATTATCAAAATATCTTGTTAACACATATACTTTTGTGATGACATCATCCCTCGGACCACGTACTTATCTTTAAAAGAAATGTAATAGAAAATTTTACAAATAAAAAAAGTACTGAATAGAACTAACAGACTTGATGAACTATGTAGATCGTAAATGACGTTGAATTTTGTATCATTAGTAATACACAAAAAAAGCAATCATGTCCAAAAATTGTCATTCATTCTGCTTGGAAGCGAAATTGATAGAAGACAAAAGCCATAATTTCCAGCGTTTTAATTAATTTTTTTATTGTTTATAAAATTCAAGTAAAAATATTTAATATTGAAATTGATCAATTTAGATATCGTTTAGCACCAGAATATCGATTTCCAAGTGGTTTAGAAGATTGTTTATCTGTTAGTCGAGAATTATTTAAAAATGGAAATAATTATAAAATAAATTCTAATCGAATTATATTATCTGGTGATTCAGCTGGAGGAAATTTAGCTTTAGTTGTTAGTCATTCATTAATCAATGATGGATATAGACCATATTTATTATCTTTATTATATCCATCATTACAATTTTTTGATTTTACTTTACCATCTTATCGTTTATATTTAAAACGAAATATTCTTGGTGTTTTAAATGAAAATAATCTTCTTTCAATGGTATCTTTATTAAGTGAAGATGATATTCAAATAACAAATGATATATTATTTAATTCACATGTATCAATTGATGATAAAAAAAAACTTTATCCTTTTATAGATCCAAATAAATATTTATCTATATCATATGAATTCAATGAAAGTCAACAAAAAAATGAAAATTTAATAAAAAATTTAAAATTTTTATTATCACCATTAATGTCTCCATTACTTGTATCTGATCAACAATTAATTCAATTACCAAAAATTCTTCTTTTTACAACAGAATTTGATATTCTTCGAGATGAAGGTAGATTAAAATTTATTAAAATTTTTCTATTTTATTTTTCTTCTTATTAAGGTTTTATATTTGCATCTCGATTAAATTCATTAAATAAAACAATTTATCATCATCATTTTTCTAATGCATTTCATGGTGCTCATGTTTTTTTATATGGTCCATTAAGATTTGAAATAGCTCATCAAATGATCGAACATACCGCCCAGATAATCAGAAATCATATGTAAATATTTGTGCAAATTGTTTTTTTTTTCTTTACTTTGTCTTTATTCAAATAAAAAATAATGTGGGTTTACTATAATATCATTTTTCTTGATTCAATTCAGAGAGAGAGACTATGAGCAAAGTTTTTTCATCTGACAACTAAGAAACGTTTGTTGTTAACATTATCAACTAATTTAGATTTCGATCTGAGAATCGTTTGCTTAGGAGTTTGTTATTTTATGAGTTTCGATTGATTTATTTATGATAAAATTTAGAATACATTATTAACATCTTTCGGATATAGAGTTCGATAAATTTTTTGTAAATACTCAAAAAAAAAACCATTTTTTTTTTTTACAATACAGGTATTGTCATATGAAAACCGTCAACAATAACACTAATGATCGAATGATCTTGTATCTGTTACTATGTATAGAAGCGAAAAGTTCTATAAAATATCAATGAAAAAAAAAATGATAACTCTGTTCAGTAAATATTATATTTGTTATTTATTACTTCAATTAATTAGTCACATTTGAGTTGAAACCATGTGCATCATGTAGACTCTAATAAGTTATGAATATAATGAAAACAGTTCGTGCTGTTGAGCTACTGCTTTTTTCTATGATATTTTTTCAAGCAAAGCCGTTGTTCCTCTGATGAACACAACAAAGACTGATTTTTCGGATTCTCGCTTGGAATTTTACACAGACATAGATCTTACAGTCTATATGAGGGTGTGAGTCATTGTGGACATCTCTGTGAAAAAATTGTATATAGTGTGAAAGAGCGTTTTTCACTCTATCGATTCGTTAAAAAAAAAACTTTCACTTTTATCTATTTGAGATCGAAAAACAGTCATTCATCGTTAACACCGAGTGCTTTTTATGGAAACATGTGTTTAATGTAATGAGCTTGCATAGTTTTCTACAACTCAAAATTGGATGAAATTTCTGTCGAATATTCTTCCATTCATAACACAAATATAGCGCTAGTGCGAATCAACGCGAGAATCCCATCACTAAGCTAAAGATCTCGATATAGCAACACTTATTGAAGACTAAATTAGCATAGAAAACTGCGTCGGCCGATGTATAATATATTAGTCTGCGTTTAAAAACCTCTTTTCCCGTATATATATAGGATAAAGATCTTTCATAGTGATTTTTCACTAGACAAAAAGCTTTTTATGTTTTGACTTGTTTAGATTATATTGACATTTGCGAGATGATAGAGTAATATTGAATAGAAAATAAGGTCTTTCTAAATTTTAAAAAAAATCATATGTTCGCCTGGTGTATCGAAAAAATGCCCACTGTGTAGGTGTTAGTCATCTCTTTATTTCCCTACACACACCCATTACGATTTCATTTTTCGTGTTTGTGGAAAACTAATGCTATCAGATACTAGTTTCTATCTCAATATCGTAGTTTTGCACAACGTGAAATAGTCTTAAATGTTCTTGGAAGCACATTTTAGTAAAATAAATCAATTATTATTTATGCGACGAGATTTATCGATGTTAAGTTAAGAGAATTACTTCCGTGATCAATCGAAGAACTGAAAAGAGAGCAAAATACTAGCATATCAACAACACCGATGAAAATACAAAAAAGAAAAAAACATTCAAAAGGAAGAAGATTATCATAATACTATATTTTGAGATAATTCTGTATAATAGTCCTTTCGAAAGTGATAGTGTTACAAAGAAAATAATTATTCTGATAATTAGTAAGCGATGCAAAAGCCTTTGAAATAATATCAAAATCTCTATTTCTGAACGATATAATATCGGATTGACTTTGGCATTTTTTCTTTTGAAAGAGCAAACCTTAGAAAGTATATACAAAAAATAAAACGATTTTCGAAAATGTTCATTTTTTAATATTGTTTCCGTTTGTGATTTCTACGCGAAAAAAATGTTTGCTAGCTTTTATATAATACCAAATCATGACTTATTTATTGATTAATGTTGCTCATGTCTCCTTAAAATGAATACCTAAATTAGGCATACAACTCTTATTATTATCGTAGAGATGGATTACGTCTGAGTTTTGACAATCAGTACTAGTGCTTCAAGCAGATTGGACCGGCATATTCGTTCGACCAGTCTAAAATCCGAGTCAATATCTGTTTTATCTTTGTAGTTGCACAATTGACTAAAGAATATGTATTTTATAGAATGACAAGTCGTTAGATTCATTCTTTACATACACAAACCGGTTGATTTAAATTCGACAAACATTTCTAAAACGGTCAAGAAAAGAGATAGAATATATCAGTAATCAATCGATTACTAGTACCAGTTTCATCGTCGTGTTACCATTAAAGTCGATGTTTATGTGATGAAACTGTAATATTGATCATGTTTTTTGTTACATGGTTGAAATAAATTTTTATTCATATATGATCGTAAAGCGCTCGCAATTAAACCTTATCGAAAGCCTTAAATTAAGAGTTTTTTAATAAGAAAGTCATTGTTATGAACAAATAATAACAAAATGCATTTGACTAGATAAAATTCCATCACTTAGTTCGTCTGATTTTTTTAAAAATTGTATTGAAATATTTAGTCAAGAGGTTTTAATGCTCGATATTTGAAAAAAAAAGTCATTGCTTATTGAAGTAATTCAATATAATATTTTCTAATTTTTTTCAATGGTAAGATCGTCATCAACAATAAAATCAAATATTGGTTTAATTCATATTGGTTCATGTCCATTACATTTAATCCATAATTCATTTAAAATAGGCATTGATAGTACAAATTGGTCAATTGAAGAATTTCTTAATAATTTAGTTTTTTGGTTTAGTCGTTCACCATCACGACGTGAAGATTATTTAAAAGTAGCTAAAAATTTATCGAATGATATTGGTAAATTTATTCGTCGTTTTATAATAACACGATGGCTTAATGCTGGACCTATAATTGAACGTGTTATTGAACAATGGACAAATCTTAATGAATATTTTATTAGATTTATTCCAATGAATTATAAAATTTTATTAAATAATCATCATTATATACAAATAAAAAGAATTCTTGAAACAAAATCAACATTAATACGTTTAAATTTTCTTGTTTTTCTTTATCATAATATATATGAACAAATTTTAATATGGTTTCAACAAACTCAACCATTAATACATGTATTATATGATGAATGTGAACAATTAATACGACGTTTATTTTCATGTTTTATAAATGAAGATTTAATTCAAAATAAAACATTACATGAACTTATAAATATTTCATTTCATAATCAAACTAATCAAAAATGTGATTCAAGTAAATTATTTTTATTTCATGAAAATTTTGTTCTTTTGAGATTTCAAAATTAAAAACAATTTCTTATATTATAAATATATTATATTTTTCATTACAATTTAATATGAAAATATTAAGAAATTTTATCCAAATTTAGTTATCTAGATCAGAAAACCTCTAGCAAGGCGTAGATGACAAAAAACGAATTACAGTATTGATTCTGTGCTACAATCAATAGTTAGAAGATTGAGTTCCTTCAACATTTGTTATTTCAAGAATAGTTTATTCCTTTGGGCTGAAATTTTTAGTAGCGACATAACCAGGATTTTGATGGTGATGGGCTGTGATGGGGCTCAACTACTCAAATTCTGCCCAGTGGCAGGGCTCGCAATAGAATTTAGCTGGAGCGACTTTGCCAGGTGATGGGGCTGAGCCCCAGCTGGCCCCAGCTTGGTTACGCTACTAATTTTTAGGATTGTCTCTTGATCACAAGATCTATCTCTGAACAAAATTTCAAGACAGAATATTTTCATTCAGTTTTTTTCATCTATTCTTTATCGGAAGTCGAACGGCACAGTAAAACAATCATAAGTGAAGATGAACAGTGTATGAGAACGAATCCGCTTAGGATTTTGTTAATCTTATGGACTGGTATTTATGGACATAATATGAGCTCGTTCAGTGATTAACTTCAGTCATCCTTTGGTCGAAGTCGACTGGCAAAATTAATCGAAATGAAATTCTATCAGATTTAGGTAGAGTACAGAAAATCAGATTTAAATAAAAATTTAGATGTATATTCACAAACTTACACGAAAATGTGCAACATTTCTTTCGTTATTTGAGTAAACTATTCAAAAAATGATTGTTATCATTGGCTCTACGAGATCTATTATATCTAATTCGACAAACCAAATTAAAAATAGAGACTTTCTTGAATATCTAAAGAATTACGCAGACCGGAATCTGTCTTGAATTGAATAACGAAAATATTATCCTCAATTCTTTTTTTTAGTTGGTCTTATTTTTTTAAGATATATAAAGGAATAGTTTATCTTAATCATTATTTCGAACTTCAGCTAATATCTTTTTTAGATTTCTAGCATGAAGATATTCAGAGATAAAAATTAAATTTTGAAATTTTTCATTGAACAAAAAAAAAAAAAAAATTTAGACAATTATCTTTATAAATAATCAACTATTGTTACTTAACTCTTATTTCATGAAATAAAAAAATAATAAAAACTATAAATTCTATTCTCTTTTATTTAGAATTAGAAATAGGTGAAGCAACTCGTCGTGGTTTAAATAATTTATCGGATGAAGAAAATAAATCTTTTTTTTCTGATATTCGAAATATTTATTCATCAATAACTAAAGAACTTATAAGAACATTACCATTAAATAATGATTTACTTCGACATTTACAATGTTTACATCCAATAATGCGTCATTCTAAAACATCTCATATAAGTATTATGAATATTGCTCGAAGTTTTCCTCAAATGATTATACCAGATGATATTGATCGTATAAATGCTGAATGGTATATATATCAAAATGAAAAAATACCAAATGAATGGTATGAAAAAACAAATGAATATCATTCAATTGATTATTATTGGAAAAATATTTTTACAATTAAAACAAATACTGGTACAGATAAATTTATTGCTTTATCTAAATTAATTAAATGTGTACTTTCATTATCACATGGTAATGCTGATGTTGAAAGAGGATTTAGTGAAAATGCTT